AGCATGTAGCTGTTTATTGAAAGTCAGATTCTTGTCCCAACTAAACTTTAGAAATATTGACTGCATTGACTTGATGAGAAGACCAAAATGTCATGAGACCTCATGGTAGGGGTGTATTTTTTTTCCCCAACAGCCGACCTAGCCGAATTGGAATTGGATCTGATCGGTTGATTTAACACTGGTTCCTATAAGAACATTATTATTATTATTATTATTATTATTATTATATCTCTCACATATGTTTGTTGAAACACGATGAATTAAAAGTAAATAAATTGAACGTGTACTTGAATACAAAAATATAAACAGATAAGTTTCTTAACTTTTTAACGATTTAGGTGATGTATATACTTCATATATTGAATAGCAAGCCTGCATTCCAACATACTATATAAGGAGATTAGCCTAACCATTTTGAACATGCATATTGCAATGAAAAACATGGCTATTCGTTATGCTTTGCTCCATATGTTCTTCTTGTTTTCGCTGGCAGTGGCAACATCGTCAAACTCTACCATCACCACCAAACCTGACTGCCAAAGCAGTTGTGGTAACGTAGAAATTCCATACCCATTTGGTATCGGGACAAATTGTTCTATGAACCAATACTTCAACATCAACTGCAATACTTCTTTCAACCCTCCAAAACCTTACCTCTCCTTTGTTAATGTGAATTTCGAAGAAGTCCTTAACATAGAGGTTGTTAATATCTCAAAATCCCAAATCTATGTTAAGAACTCGGAGAAACAGCAGGGAAGTAGATGCTATGGCATGCGGGCCAATTACAAGATGATGAATTATTCTATAATCCTCGAATTTCGAGGGACTCCTTATTCCTTGTCAGAAGCAAATGAGCTAAAAATATTTGGTTGTGATGACTTGGCTGTTGTACACCAATTTTCAGAACCAATCCATTCCTTCGGCGGTATTAGCTGTTTGTCCTACTGTCCAAACCAAAATCATTCCAATGGAACATGCCCTACCTGGGGCTGTTGCCAAACCTCCATATCCAAAACTGAATCCCTCTATGTTCGACTGGTCGATGTGCATACTATTTGGCCAGGCAATAACAAATATTTCCGGTGCAGTTTTGTCTTCGTTGGAGTGATCGGCGATCTTGGTAATTTCACTTTCAAATTATCTGATCTCAATCATCCAACAGCATTCCTAAAGAATAATAAAGAGTTTATAGATAAGCCATTGGCATTAGATTGGAGAATTGGTCCTTTTTCGAATTGCAATAGAACTTCATGTGGAAAGAATAGTCTTTGCATTGACTTGGATTCCCTTTATGGAGGATATCACTGCAGGTGCAAGGAAGGATATGACGGCAATCCCTACCTAGGGTGCCAAGGTTAGTTTTTTAAATTACTATTATTTATGCATCCAGTTATCCGAATTCGATACAAGAAATCTAACAGTTACTTGCTTTGATGTTTGATGGGTGGGTGGTAGATATCAACGAATGCAACAATAATCCATGTGCCTCCGATGGAATTTGCAACAATACTTTGGGTTCTTATAGTTGTTCTTGCCGCAATGGTTATTATGGTGACGGGGGGAAAAATGGTATTGGTTGTAGACGATTGCCGGACCTGCCGGTGTCTCATCGCAAAGTGACAATAGGTATTACATAACTAGAGTTTATATTTTCTTAATTTTTCCTCATTTTCAATTGCAACTTAGATTTTTTTATATAAATTTGCTAGTTTAATTTTTTTCTTGTAACCAATATTTAAAATTAATTTATTTAAGAAACCATAATCAATTAAAGAATAATCTCCCCAAAATATTTAATTCTTAAAATCACTAATGAACCAATAGGGTATTTTTTTAGCCAAATTCTATGTAGAATATTTTTAGTACAAAAATTAGTTAGATATATCTTTGATTAATTTAATTTTTACGAAGTGATTATTATATTATTTAAATTTGAATTTAGGAATTATTAGGTTAAATCTTTTACTTTTCGAACAACACATTTTAATGATTTTACTATTCATGATAATAATAATGAAAAAGAATATTTTTATAATTAATGTTCATATGTTTTTGTATTCAGCACAATAATAAATAATTTTTACTTATCAACGTTAAAATACTATTTTGAAACATGCAGTAATTTTGAAACAAAAGTTTAACAAACATTTAATTGATTCTTTCGGCATAAATGATCAATATTCCTACTTGGGAAAAACTATACGTGATTAAAGTTCAAATTAGATGTAATGTTCTTGTCTTGAATTACTTTGCATATGTTGACACTTTTCAGGAGTAGGCTTGGGCTCAGGAATAGGATTACTACTTCTATTATCAAATTGCTTTTGGTTGTACAAGTTTAACAAGAAAAGAAAAAATAAGAAGCGCAAACAAAAGTTCTTCAAATGAAATGGTGGACTCTCGCTACGACAACAAATATCAAGTGATGAAGTTATACTCGAAAACACACGACTCTTCACTTCTAAAGAAC